GAGAGAGAGAGAGAGAGAGCAAATAAATAAATTAATAAATGAATAGACAATACAATACATTAACTCAATATTAAAGTATAAATTTATAAAGTAATAATTTTAGGAATCATGTGTATTTATTTTTAGAAGATTTAAATTCTACATTAATTAGATTTCGCTCGTTTTTTGTAATGCAAAGTATAAAGAAAAAACGGTCTAAATCGAGCGGTATAAATAAGATTTTTTTATAAAATAAATTTCTAGTTTACAATGTTAATATAACAATGTTAAAAATAAAAAATATAATATATATAAAAAAATATAAAATAATACAAAATTAATATCGAATGTTTCGGAACTCACGGGACCTTCAGCGATTCTTATAGATGTTACAATGTGTCATAGAAATGAAAGCATAATAATCTTATGGTCTAAGCGACGTGGTGTGGTACAGTTTGTTCGAAGAAATTGATTCTCCTGTTCTTGTGTGAATGTGGATATTGTATCTAAAGTAAGAAATTTATTGTCGTCAATATAAAAGTAGTCAAGAGGTAAGACAAAGATGAGTCATTTAAATGTAAATTGTCAATTATTGTCTATTATTGTCAATTTTTGTATTACGTCAATTAATTATTTATTTGGTGATTAAAATTGAACTTTTTACTTATAATAAAATGTATGAAAATAGGAGCATCTTTACGTATTCGTTTGATTCTGTTAAGCAGAAGTGTTACAATGGTGACAGATGGACTTTTAGGGCATCGGAACGATATTTATTTAACAAATACTAGAATCTTTTTACGACCGTACACAATTGATAAACATTAAACAATAATAAACAAGAAGAAGGAAGCCAATAACGGTCAAAGCTGGATCACAGTGCTTATTATAATTGTGTGAATTTTATATACTGCGTATGTAGTCCCCCCAAAAATCGTGACGCTGATAGTTTTTCAGCATTGACGCATACATACTTACTACCGCAGTAATATCATTTAGTTAAATTGACAAACAATATTTATATTTATTTATTTGTTTGACACTTTTTCAATAGATAACTGTAAGAGTCTAGACCAGAGCTTAAATTTATTTGCATATTTCGGACCGATTTCGTTGTCGACGCCTACTTTTGTTTGCCAAGTTTGTCTTGAGTTGTCTTTTTGATACCAAAAAGACAACTCAAGACACGTATAAATAAACATAAGATAATATAAAGCAGAGTTCCTCCAGATTCTCTATCATCTCTGACCATAAATTAAATCATGATTGGGAAGGAGCCTTAATTCTAGATATTGAAAAGAATTATCTCAGAGATGTTATACATTAAAAAACAAAACAAAGGCATCTACTCACAAAAAGACCCGAATAGTCTAGACTCTTACAGTTATCTATTGAAAAAGTGTCAAACAAATAAATAAATATCGTTCCAATGCCCTAAGAGTCCATCTGTCACCATTTTGTAACACTTCTGCTTAACAGAATCAAACGAATATACGTAAAGATGTTCCTATTTTCATACATTTTATTGTAAGTAAAAAATTCAATTTTAATCACCAAATAAATAATTAATTAACGTAATACAAAAATTGGCAATTTACATTTAAATGACTCATCTTTGTCTTACCTCTTGACTACTTTTATTATATTATATTGACGACAATAAATTTCTCACTTTAGACACGATATCCACATTCACACAAAAACAGGAGAATCAATTTCTTCGAACAAATTGTACCACACTATGTCGCTTAGACCATAAGATTATGCTTTTATTTCTATGACATATTGTAACATCTATAAGAATTGCTGAAGAAGGTCCCGTGAGTTCCGAAACGTTCGATATTAATTTTATATTATTTTATATTTTTTATTTTGTGTTGTATTAACATTGTGTAAACCAGAAATTTATTTTATAAAAAAATCTTATTACCGCTCGATTTAGACGATTTCTTTATACTCGTTTTTTTCTTTATAGTTTGTATATTATATTATATTTTTTCAAAAATTTATGAAGAACATTGAAATCTTTAAAAAAAAATGTATTAAAAAAAGAAAAAAATATATCAAATACATAAAAAGGTATAAAATATTATTTTCTTCTTAATTAAAAACGAATATGAATTAAATGCCATTATTTTATTACGCACGACACATAAGAATTGAAAGTGAGTAAAGTGGTGAACTAGATTATAAAGGAAGAAAAAACTCTTGGAGTGGCTGGGTCGCATTAATTGCACTTTTGAGAATATATTATCTCAACGCAATATTTATGAGACTATCAAAATTTTATATATATGTACATATGTATATTCAATGAGAAATTGTAGGACATAAAAACATATTTACAAATAATAGACGTGAAATAAATTTATGTAGAGAAATAATATGTAATATAATATCGATAACATTTAGATATAGAAACATTATAGATAACGAAGTTGCAAAATTAGTATTGTACTACAATTATTAACATATCTTCCTTCTTTAATCATTGCTTTCATATACTATGTACTGCAGAGATATTGTATGTAATAACCTTTTTATTAATTCGTATTGCAAATAATTTCCGTACTATAGAAACATATTGATAGAATATTGGATTTAATACGACCGGGAATACAAAATTTTTTTTCTTCACTCGAGTTGATCACTTTAGTCACATTCAGCTTATGTTACGTATTTTGCACAATGAAATACACAGTTGGCTAATTACATTTATTTCATATCCATTTTTTATTAAGAAGTATGTAATACTCGATAGCTTTTTAAGCATTTAGTATATTTTTTTCTTTTTTAAAATGATTAATCATTTTTTTCCCTTGAGATACATAGCGTGCATAACTGTGCCTAAATTACTCTTATACCTGCATGTTTCCGGAGATTGTTTCCCGTTCACTTAATATTTCATGAAGTGGTCGCGTCCCCATGGTATTTCTTAAGGTCGTCTGAGCCAATAACCTCGTACTATGATGCGCATTCTCAACATTCGCAATTGAAATGGTCGCGTTATTAACACGGTAGTAAACTACTGCATCAACAGATACTGTAACGCTATCCTTCGTCAAAACCTAATATAAACAAATAAATGAATAATTATATACATATATATATATTGATGTTTTATATTTAGTATACATGGTATATATTTTATATTTAGTATACATAGTATATATGGTATTAAATTGAAACAAAAATTCGTAGCGCTACAAAGATAAAAATTCAAGAAGCTGTAACTTCAAATTAAAAATGAACAAAATTTAAAGGACCCCGCTTTAATCTTATGGAAATTGGTTTTCTGATCGAATTGGCTAAATTTTGGGTACGTTGTAGTTTTTATTTTTCTGAACAAATATTTCCATGGAACCAACCTCCTCTCATGACTAATTTTTACGCTTCTGAATGGTTCGTTCTTAAAAAACGTGGTAAAAAGTTTCCTTTTATGATATTATATATTATTATTTATAATAGGCGCGAGCGTAAGTGCATGCGTGCGTGCGTGCGTGCGTGCGTGCGTGCGTGTGTGTGTGTGTGTATCCATGTTTCATCCATTTAAAACGACGATCTCAACAAAATCTTTTAAGCATCTAATAAGTGCATTTTGGAGAAAAATTTGCGCAATCGGCACCATCGAGACTGACGCGAGGCACTTTAGATACTTGCATCATATCAAAGCGTGTTTCTCATTACTCGGTTTTCGTATTTAATTTAATTAATTAGTCAAAGCTATTTAAAATAAATTAATTTGTTTTGAAAGTTAAAAAACATCTGTAAATTATTTAAAAGTAATAAAAATTTTTTTAAAAACCTAATATTGTTTAACAAATATTAAAATGATTTAATAATTATCAAAATTATGTAAGCAATGTTACAATTACTTAAAAAATTGTATTTTTGTTCTAAAAGTAAAAAAATATTTTAATAACTTATAATTATTTTTAAAAAATGTAAAAAGTATTAAAGAATTCTGCAATTTGCTTTAAAAATCCAAAAATGTTCAAATCACAATCTTGAAATTATTTACAAAGTCTTATCATTGCTACAAAAATCTAAAAAGTGATTATAATAAATATAGTATGTTCGGAAAATAAAAATAAAATATCGAACGGCTCAAATAATAAATTAAATATAATTAATTTGCATGCAAGGACTCTTAACATAAAACTGACAATTATATAATATAAAGGACTAATAAGAGTCAAATAGCTAATTTGTCAAATTTCAAATAAAGAGGTGAACTACATTTTAATTATATATACTGATTGAATGAGTCGACAAATTTTACATTAAATAACGCGCGCATTACATGTTTCGGCTGTATGATTCAGCCCTCTTCGGAAACTTGTACAATCCTGCAATACAAAAATCTATCTTATTATATTTTAAACCGCAATATCCATATAAAATTAAAATTATCTTATTATATTTTAAACCGTAATATTCATATAAAAATTGATTGTGATGGACATTTTGGACTGGATAAAATTGTGTAGAAAGTTTGATCAACGATTGACCGACCAATTGATACTATGTTTTACCATGTTCAAATTGTCCATAACAAATACATCGTTAGTAGTCATCCTTCCGCAAATGTTATCGAAGTCAAAGATAGATGGTCACATAATTATAAAATGTCAAAAACTTAAAAGAAGATCGATTTTCACAACGAAATTAGACACGTCTAACTATTACGGTTGTCGGTTCAATATATCAATATTTAATGTAAAATTTGTCGACTCATTAAATCAGTATATAATTAAAATGTATATAATTATATATGTAGCTCACCTCTTTATTTGAAATTTGACAAATTAGTTATTTGATTCTTATTAGTCCTTTAAATTAAATATGTAATACAAAATAAGAAGGGCTACGAGTCGATGTTATTATTAAAAACGTTAATTATTAAATTAAAGGACAACTATATATGAAAATTTTAAATAAAATGAATAATAAATAAATAAAATAACAGACGTTTCGACACTTATTGTGTTATTTTCAATGTTAACAAAAGAAATTTTAACGGTCGAAAGATGAAATTACATATATTTCCTAAAGAATATACATTGATAAAAACATAATATTCAAGTAAAAAATTCAAGTAACGATTATTATAATAATTGCGTGCAATTACCTCTTGCGGGGGTACGTCATATGTACGCGTTCGCAAATCAACGCGGGCATAGTTATCCACGCACGGCAGAATGAAAAAGATTCCTATAAATGGGAACATATGTTTAGTTACTTCGATGCATAATGGACAACATAAGATGTTGAAGTACTCTCATGCGCGTTACATACTACTCATATATATTTAAAATAGTAGAATGCTGTAAAAGAGTATCATAATAAACATGAATCAAATTATTTAATTTTATAATCATCAATTTTAGTTCTATAGTAAATAAGAAAAATTTATAAGTTTTTCTTATAATATAAAGCATACATATTGAGAAATTTGTGTCAAATATAACACGTTTCATATGTCCCAAACGGGCCACACAAATTTTTGTGTTTATTTAACATAAAATGAATATGTTAGAAAATACAAATATTGTGTAAAAAAATTATCACAAAAATGGTAATGCTGACACAGTTTGTAAACAAACTATAGAAGTGTATTTTTTCAGTATAATTAACATTTACAATATGTTAAATTAACACGTATATTTCATATACGTAATCAGTAAGGAAATCGTAACATTGGATTCGCTACCGGCCTTAAGCCCATGGCACATACAAAACGTAAGGCCGGTCTAATTTTTGGGTCTAATGTAAGTCACATTTAAGGCCGATTGTTCCATCTTTTGGTAATGTTTACCTGTTAGGTAAGTAGCAAGATTGCCCAATCACGTGCGCGGATTGCCAGATTTACCCAACAGGTAAACTTTACCGAAAGATGGAACAATCGGCCTTAAATGTGACCTACATTAGACCCAAAAATATTATAGGTCTATATGGGGTAAACGCTCTATTTAAGACCTCTCTAAGATGGGGTATATAGTAAGTCAGGTGTAAACTAGGCCAATGGAAACGTACCCTAACACGTAGTAGCCTAGAATCCCCATAGCTTACCTTCCTACTTACAATTGGACTAATTATATGTATTTCTTTTTAAAACAAATGCAATGGTAATGGTAATCCCTTACCGGGACCTTTAGCACCGCCTGAGAGAAGACGTCCTAATCGAAATATGACAGCTCTTTCGTACTCCTGTACAACCTATAATATTAAACACACAAATACGTTCTTTATTGTAACTTGCAATTTTATTAAAATTTCGTAAGTTAAATACAATATAATAATAAATAATATTGTATATAACTATTTTAATAAATACAGTATTATATTAATGGAATACAGTTTTACTAATAAATATAAGGGTACAAATAGTCCATTTGATAAAATCATTCAATAAAAATCGTAAGATTATATCGTAAGAAAGATTGAAACGGGCTACCTATTTATACAAAATAAAAGGAAGTATCATGGCCAACAGGCTAGACTTCTCTCTCTCTCTCTCTCTCTCTCTCTCCCCCTCCCCCCCCCGCCTCTCTCTCTCTCTCTCTCTCGAAATTGCGCCAATAAATTAGGGTTTTTTCTAACCCCAAAAAATTGCCAAACATTCCTTAAAATTACACTATTCAATCTGGGACCTTTCTTTAACTCAACCACAATATAAGATATAAGTACATACAGTAGGTCGACTCTGTGTCGGCACTTTTGATCTGAAGAGAAATGGTCGGTCATGATGTTGAGTGTGCAGCGCGGACAATTTCAATACTAATCTATATATATATATATATATATATCACACACGAATATATGCTTCTTTTCTTCATATTTGATGCAATGCCCGCGAAAATGGCTCGACCGGTCTCCGAGCGCCTGCATCTACAGCGTCGTCACGTCGCAATAACGCGCGTCATGAGAGCCCTAGTCATCAAAAGGTGCAAAATGGCGAACAATCGAGATCGAAACGAGCTCATCCGTGGACACACATCTGTGTGGTGCGATGCACACTCAAAGGCGGTAAGACTTTCAAAAATATACAATGGAAAGCACTCGAACCAAAACGCGTCCGTAACGGTTGGGTGGTTCGTCGGAACTGACTTGTCGTCCTTGTCGTCCTTGTCGACCCGTGTCGACCTGTGTTCCACGAGACGAAAACAGACGAGAATCCCTATAAGCCGCCATATTATTGAGTGTGCATTTCCGTCATGCGCGAGGGACAATCATTTCGCGGATTTTAGCCTCAGTCAACCTACTGTATGTACTTATACTGTGACTCAACATCGGAAATGTTATACAGGTTTTTTTCTACGTATTTTAGTACTGGAGTAGTAATAAATAAAAAAATTCTCACAAATTCAAAACTTCAAACCTATAATATGAAACCCAAAGGTGGGGGAATTAAAACTTACATGAAAAAATAAGATTAAATAGACTTATATGACAACTATTTATATGTAGTTGTCGCAATTTCCTAAACGCTTACGTCATTAATTTCAAAGTATTAATATATTTTAGAATTAGTTATGATTATCGTCATAGCGCACCACTAATAAATTTTATTATTTATTCAATTAACTGATCGAATATAAAAAACTGTAACTATAGTTATTTTTGCAAAGTAACTTTCTCAACCTTGCATATAACAACTTCACGCAGATATCATATCTTGCTCGATATAATAATAAAAGCATAGCGAAAACGTGCATTTGCATGTACTGTGGATAAAAATAGCATTATGCATAAACTCCATGTAACTATAGTTACATTGGAATAACATTGCTCATTAAAACATCCGCTAGTAAAACTATCGGCGGCGAATAGCCAACACATTTATAACACGAAAGAGAATAATGTTCTAAAAATTTTTTTTTAAAGTTATTTTTCTCTAAACAGGTCTCTTACCTTGAAACAAACAAAGAGAGAAAACGGCATCGTTAATATTACAACAATCCAAGATAATATCACCAAGATATTCCCGCATGTTGTCGAATCTCCCTGGGCACTGTCATCCGCTGCAACATAATAATGTTATTCGATACTAAGACAATTAATGTATGCATGAAATAAAACATAAATATCTGTTTAAAAAATTTGTTTTCAAATCGTATTAAATTTATGTTTAATGTATTTTCGAAATGCCAAGAAGACAACTTTCAAAAGTACAGATGAATTAAAATTGTTGCGATGCAATACTATAATATTAGTTGCTTTCCATTTACTCCGATTCTCAGATAATTCTCACTTGTGCATGACGTCATAACTCAATTGAATGCGCGTTCCTTTTACATTCTGAGAAGTGAGATTCAACTGAGTTTTTCCCTGCAAACTACACAAGATCAAGACCGTGTGCTTTATTGAGTCTCGTAGACTCACTTTAAAAGAGAGATTATAAACCTGTGTTGTTATTTGTTAATTTTACCAAAGTAAGCAAGTAGTGACATCATTAATCTGAGTATTTCATACTCAGCTCACTTCAGATGACAGATACAGGTTCTTAGAGAAAAAAATCTGAAAATTTACTCACTTTAAATCGTCATAATTTAGTAAAAAAAAAATCATACATTGTTGGAAAATTTATGTTGAACATAATATATTTCAAATTAAATTAAATTAATATCCGCTCAAATAAATTTCCAAATTAAACTTAATATACCTCCCAGGTCAAGAATAAATTGAGCTTATACTAGTTGTTAGAAATATATATAAATTTATTATAATAATAATACCGGTATATACGGACAGTTTCGACTTCACAGAGTCCTCAACAGCCGCAACCGAATTCTTAAAAATTAATTTAGTATATTGCGAAGAATATCACAAGTTTCATATATTCCAAATATAACATATTTCATATATTCCAAACAGCGCACTCAAATTTTTATGATCATATATAAAATGAACATGTTAGAAAACAACACAGATATTATGTTAAAGAAATAATCACTCAAAAAAGTGATCTTGCCGTTATAGCGAAAATTATCTAGGTACGAAAATTAGCTAAAATAGATAAATATCTGCAGTATTGCAATATTGGATGTTTCGTACCTAATCATATAAATGACTGAGATAAAATTTAGATTTATACTGTAAATTTTATACATATATATATATTTTCTATCAGATACAAAAAACAGCGATAATTCTAGCTGGAGCAGCAAAATATTTTTTTGCATGATCACAAAAAAGGTAATGCTAACACAATTTAATAAACAAATTGTAGAAATATATTTTTTGTATAATTAACATTTATGAACAATAATAAACTAGAAGAAGAAAGCCATTTACGGTCGAAGCTGGATCACAGTGTTTATTATAATTGTGTGAATTTTATATACTGCGTATGTAGTCCCCCCATAAATCGCGACGCTGATAGTTTTTCAGCATACATACTTACTACCGCAGTAATATCACTTACAATTAGTTAAATTGACAAGCAATCTAACAATTTTTTATGCTTATAGCATCTTATTGGATCTTAATAATATGTTGGAAGACATATATTAAATTTTTTAACGATGTAATGATGAAGTAAAGATAAATCTAAATCTGTGAAAAATAAGATTGCGAAGAGTATCACGAGTTGGCGTTTCGTCCCGGTTTCCACTACTGGACTCATCAGTAAGGCATTGTAATGGAAACCTACCTTAGACGCCTGTTTAAGTTATTAAATCGAGATTCTATATATACAAATATACGCGTATCTCAGCACTTGCGAGAATTTTTGCGAACATCTATAGACCTCTGATGGCGGATTGATTGACGTAGTAATATTCTTCGCAATATTTATCTAAAGTGGGAGAATAACGTCCTTTTTCAGGCTGACGTGATTTAACAAATACTAGAATATTTTTAAGACCGTATAATTGATAAACAATAATAAACTATTTATGGGGGGACTACACACGCAGTATATAAAATTCACACAATTATAATAAGCACTGTGATCCAGCTTCGACCGTAAATGGCTTTCTTTTTCTAGTTTATTATTGTTTATTAATTGTACAGTCTTAAAAATATTCTAGTATTTGTTAACATTTATGATATATTGTAAATTAACATGTATTTCGTTCACTCATCCTGGAATTTACGTTTAAAAACATATTATTTTTAGATTACTCGTTTACTTACTCATAAATTGTGCCATTTTAATACTAAGAAATATTGACTATCAATTTAACACTGAATTTTTAAATAACATAATGACATTTTGTTAAATTAACATCCTAATATATTAAAAAATTCAACTCACAAACGATTAACAACAACGTGAGTACAGTTTCCAATGCAAATACAATGTTTTTTTATCGAGTATAGTATAATGATTAAAAAAGCATTTTAAAGAGAAATGATGTATTATATTTTACAATAAATTGAAGAAATTTTCAGAAAAAAATTTGATTCTCTCTTCACATGCGTCATCAAAGTTAAAATGTATTTTTTCATTTTTCAAGGTTCACTTTAAATTAGTGCCATATAGTGAAATTGTTGACAGTAAAAGAAATCATTGTATACTTGTGTTGTAAACAGTCCATTCACATTCTTGATAATAGTCTGTTAAAGTTTTTAATATATTCGAGTGTTAATTTAACACAATGTAATTATGTTATTTAAAAATTCTGTGTTAAATTGATATTCAACATTTCTTAGTGTTAAAATGGTACAATTTATAAGTAAATGAACAAATAATACATAAAAATAAAGTATTTTAGAACACAAATTCTAACAATAAGATGAATGAATAAAATATAAGTTATAATTTAACATACCATAGATATTAATTTTACTGAAAAGAATATATCATGATTTGTTAGAAACTATGTCAATGTTATCTTTTTCATATTTATTCTTTTATATAATATAATATTTGTGTAATCTTCTAACATATTCATCTTGTGTTAAATTAACCCAAAAATTTAAATAAATTGCTTGAGAAACATGGGAAACGTGTTATATTCGACATTTTTTTCAATGGTGCTGCAGTGAGATATGAGATTTGAAACTAGACATGTCAATATCGAACAAAAATATCGACTATATATATGAATATATTAAGATATTTTAAAACTATCTATATTCATTCCAAATGAATAGACACATTATATCGAATATATCGCACGAATAGATTCCGAAAAACAAAACGCCACTTTCTTTTAGCAGGCAGACGAGCGATTTTGTAGCGCCACAATCGCAAACGTCGACCGTTCATACGGAGCTATTTTCTGGCGCTACAGAAAAGCATCGCGAATTGTCACGAATACGTTCACATAGCTCCGTTACGGTATAAGTAAGTACAGTAGTTTCCCTCCGTGTCGGTACCTTTGATCTATGTGTCCTACAGTCAGCCATGTTGCTGATTGTGCGAGGCCTTTGTTTCACTGCACACATCGACACCACAGTGACACACAGTAACACAGTATCCATACGTGACATCGACGCCATGATGAAAGTAGTGCGATTCGCGCACCCATAAATTTTGGAGAGTGAAACTACTGTACTTACCTATACTATGGCTCCGTATGAATGGGTCGACGTTTGCGATTGTGGCGCTGCAAAATCGCTCGTCTGCCTGAGCCCTTAGAGCTTACGAACGAAAATATGTAATACTTGATATTTGATCATTTGATTGAGGAAACTAGGAAAAACTCCGTTTATTTACAGTCCCAACCTCTGTTCTCTACAAATTACAAATGATAAATGAAACTCCTTTCTTTATGTCACAATGTACCGATTACCGAATGCATCCAAAATTCCTGAAAGTATTCATAAAAATGGAGGGTGAATATGAATGCTAAAAAAATATCTAGTCAATATTTTATTCATAATTTTTTATTCGATATTTTTATATCGAGCAGCAAAAAATATCGAATATTCGATATTATCAAATAACGATAAACATCTCTATTTGAAACATTTGAAAGTTGTCGCTTCAGATTTCACAGCGCGTTTTCGAATATCACTCTACGACCGTTTATTTTTTTTTTTTTTTCAAAAATACATATCTTTGAATTTGCTCCCTTGTAGCTCTAATTTTAAATGATTCTCTCATTTTTCCGAGCACAGTAAAACGATTTTTTGGAGCAAATAAAACTCAGCACCACACGCGCGCGCGCGTACACACGCATAAAACGTATATAAAAAAAATTCAGTAATATTAACGTAAATTGATACGTTGAAATTGCAAATATTGAGAATATGTTTAAGCAACTTAATATTTTATTATGGTAATAAAAAAAATGTATATAAAAAGAACAAAATCAGTATCCTCATCTTATAAAAGTCTAATTTAACGTAATATAATTTATTTTATATTTTTATATTTTTATAATTTATTTTACTACAAAGTTAAGTGAATATTTTAAAATGACATGTTCCATTAGCTAGAAGCAATTCTGAAAATCACATTAAAAACATTAGCTAGAATTCAGAACGTGCTTTTATCGATCTAAAATTCTATAGTATATGTATTAACGTTAACTCGCATATGCTCAATACGCACTAGCATATAAGCGTGTTCTGAAAGTGGGCCATCGACTATAACGTATCTTATGTCTTAAGGTCAAAGCCATTCTATATTATGTTGTAAGTTCTTTAAAAGTAACTTCCTGTTATTTTAATGTTATTTCGATGAATTTTTATTTTTATCAAAAACTCGTGTAAATATAGAGCAGACTGAGGCAAAACGAGGTATAGCGAAATAAAACCGGTATACCTTATACCATTATTTCTTAGCTTGCTTGTTGCGATAGCTCAATATGGTGATTAATTGAATTATGTTTTATGTTCCGAAGAACATATAACCATAGACATAAGAAACCATAGACCGAGCGTAAGCCTGCGGGGTAATGATAAACGGGGTAAGGGGAAACAGCGGACGAATTCGGCTATTTCCGTAGATCGGCTCGAGTATGTTCGAGGTTACAGAAAAGAGTGTATGAATCTCAGCGATTTTCAATCCAATATCTATTATTATAAAATGCATTCTTTTATATATAGAAATAAATACAAGATTCAT